TTCAGGTCTCCAGAGTCAGGTGCAAGCACTAAGCCGTCTCTCCAGCTCACATTTCTTATTGAGATTTTTTTTTTCTTTTTATGATATATGCTCACCATGGCAGCCCCAGACTCATGATCCTCCTGCTTAGCCTCCCAAGTGTTGGGATTACGGGCGTGTGCCATTGTATCTGGTTCCTTACTCAGGACTTAACAGCCGTCACCCATTAGAGAGGTGTTTCTTTATCGAAAAAGAAAAAAAATCAAGGTTTCTACCCAGCAAAAGGACAGTATAAACGATGAGGGCGGGCCACCAACCTGAGCAGCCTCAGTCCTGAATACAGCTTGCATGAAGCGTGCCATGATAAATGCTTGCTGAGTAGGACAGATGGACGGATGGATGGATGGATGGATGGATGGATGGATGGATGGATAGGTGGATGGATGGATGGATGGATGGATGGCCAGCCAAGGGCCAACAAAAGTAGAAAAATAGAGAGTACTGGGGTTGGGCTATAACTCAGTGGTATAGAGCTTCTTTAGTATGTACAAGGCCCTGGGTTCAACCCCCCCTATCAGAGGCAAAGGAAGAGTGTGTGGAGAGAACTCACCTCCACTGACCAAAGTTTAAGCAAGAAGGAAATGCCACCTATTTAAAATATTAATGATGTTTAGGTTGGTGTTTGAACTGAAGCCAGAATATCAGATGAATAGTTTCTGACAGTCAAAAGGATGCTGGACTTGGAAAAGCCACCTCTGAGCTTCTTTAGAGGGCAGCATTTGTGTCCACAGGCAGTAGACAGGGAAAACCACGGGCTGCGGAAGGGAAGGGTGCACCCTGAGGACAGATCCCTCCGCTCTGTGGCAGGGATGGTGCAGCATGCCAGCACACAAAGGAAACACCAGCCTCCACCTGAGGATATTCAGCTATATGTGCCAGGGCTGGCTGGCCACTGAGGGCAAGCCTGAAATCCAGCATGTGACCTGCTCCTTATGAGGCCCAGTTCACAGAAGCCCCATAGGTAGGTGGCAACCCTGATTCTCTGGAGTCTGATAGGGATTTCAGTGATGATGAAAGCTACAATAACAAAGACATGCATGAACTTCAAGGTCATGATAAGCCAGATGTGCTATTAACTCATCTAAATAACTTCCTAGTTTCCTGAAGTCAGTCTTCACAACTGTCCTGGGAGGTACATACTAAAACTTGCAGCAGGAAGCTTAGAATTTGTTTGAAAGCAATGGACTTGTGAACCAGACTGCCTGGGTTCAAATCCTCTCTACTCCTTTTGTAAACTGGATGACTGGTGGAGGGTCCTTTAAGCTTTCCAAGCCCCAAGACTCACATATTTAAAATAAAGTGAAAACAATAGTGGTTACTGTCTCATAAGGCTGTATGTCATAAACTAATAACTAGGGCTAAAGTTCGAAACAGAGGCTGGCAAAAGTAGGCCAAGTGAGTGCCATTCTTGCCATTGCTGCCTGTGGAACACAGGCGGAGACCTGGGAAGGCCGGAGACTCGAGCAGGGCCTCACATCCAGTGAGAGTGACCCCAGGAAGACTCAGGTCTAACATATGACCCAACACATCAGATTCTCTCTGTCCCTCCCTCCAGTCACACCTTTGCCCCATCCCACACTCCCAGGGCTAACCAGGTTAGCTTGGGCTACCCTCATGGGCTAGACTTCCCTCAACCCCATCAAAGCAATAGAGACGATCAAGGAAAGATGCCTAAAGTGAGCTAGCACGCCTGTTAATTAACCTCTGATTTTATTCTCAGGTGTGAAGAGAAACCCCGAAGAAGATAGGGTTATGGATCTGCTCTTTGCTTAGTAGAAAATGTCCCTTTTCCATGGAGGAGAGCCCTTTGGTTTTTTGGTATGTTACAGTCCTTAAAACTGTGGCTAAGCCAAAGCCTGCTATATCATCCAATAAAATCTGCCTTACAGCTATGCCCTCTGGATACAGATATGGCATGCGGTCACTGGTAAAGACGGAGAAATAACACATAGGGCCAATCCAAAGAGCCTCATAAACCAAGATTAATGCTCTGCCCTGCTCCTGCCCTGTTGCCTGGAAGCTTCTAGAAAGGGCCACATTTGTGCTAGGGAAACAAAGATGCCCTATAACAACCAAACCATCTGTGATCCAGAATACTTTGGAGGTAGGAAGTTTTGTAGAGCCGATTTGAAGAACACAGCCTATAGCACTAGTTAGCACATGTATTCACATGTTTACCACATTCCCAGACATGTTCAAAGCTCCTGAGAGCTGGCACGCATTTACTCAACAATATGAGGAAGTCCCATTTTACTGATGGAGAAAGTAAGCCACAGAAACGTCAAATAACTTCTTCCACCGTCACACAAGCACCGAGATTCAGAGACCGTGGCTTTGTTTTCTAGATACGGCCTTATTCGTATCCTAGGCTAACCAGGAACTTTCCATCTTCTGGAGTGCTGGGATTACAAGTGTGTGCCATCACCCCTGGCATACAAATTGTATGTCACTGAAACAAAATACTATCCATGTGCAATGCTTTCTCATGTTTCCTTCTCCCGTTCTTTTTTTTTTTCTTTTTCCAGGGCCTTGAGCATGCTAAGAGTGTGTTCTGTCCTTGAACTACACCCCCCCTTTTCTGTTCTAGTCTGTCCTATTACAAATACATCACTCTTGGGGCCAGACATGGTGGCGCACACCTCTAAGCCCAGAACTCAGTAGGCAAAAGCAATCAGACCACTGTGAGTCGGAGGCTCATCTGGTCTATGGAGTGAGTTCAGACCAGACAGAGCTACACAACAAACAACAGCCAAAGGACAAAAAAAAAAAAATCATAAACACATCATTTTGGCCAGTGAGGTGGCTTAGCAGACTTGGACATTTGTCACCAAGCCTGAGGATCTGACTTCTATCTTTGGGACCCCCATGTGGAAATCGGAGAATTAGCCCACAGAGGTCATCCCCTGACCTTCACACATGCACTGTGACACATGCAATTCTGCATACACACACAAATAAATGTGAGAACATAGCAGTCATAGACCTGCTTGTACAAATGAAGACACAAAAAGTTCCTGTTCTCCTCCAGTTCACCAGGGAGAGATATGGATCCATATACCAAACAGTGGTGTCTGAGGAGTTAATATAATGAGAACTACAGGAAAAGCACGCCAGGGTGACCTCACAAAGCTCCTGCTGCCTGCAAACTGTTCCGAAGTACATTAAATAAATGAATGAATGAATGAATAAATAAAGCCTCCTGGTAATGACTGCTGGAGTGCACTGAGCTGCGCGTGCGTGTACATGTGTCACCGCCTATGGTGCACATGAGCCTGCACGTGTGTATCTTCTCTAGCGAGGCCTCCCTGAGGTTTTGGATAGAGAAGGCAGGATCTCCACCTGCAGGTGTGTGTGTGTGGGGGGATTCCTATACAAGTTTGCCCTGAAGGGAGCCTAGAAGGGATTTTGGTGTGGACACACCTAGCCTACAGTGGGTCACAGCTAGTCTGACACACTGCTGGCAGACCTTGGGCTCCGGCTGGAACCTCAGCCCAGAGGAAAGAGAATCTTTGCACCCCTCACCTACCCGGCAGAGCACCTTCGTAGTTAGCCCCAAGCCCGTGCATGAAGGTGCTGCGGAAGGGCCTGCCTGCAGAAGTAACAGTCACTCCTGGGGAAAATCCGGAGCACTGAGCAAACCCGACAGGCGACTGATGCCGGACTGGGGAGCAACGGGACAGGTGCCAGCCATAGAGCGCCTGGGGCGACGTTAGCCTCCGAGGAGGGCATCTGAAACTTGGCAGCAGGGGTAAATCGCCAGCTCTTGCTTTACATCAAAGGGGAAACATAAAAAAGGATTGCTGGCAGGGGCGGCAGAAGCATTACCTATGGGGAAAGCGGCCAAAATATCTGCTAATGAATAAGTGTAATTGATCAAAACAGATGACTTGATGGATCTTCCACATGTGCTTTTAGCCGAGTGGGCAGTTTTTCATTCAAATGCAAACTCACCCAGATACGACCCAATAATGGAGATTCTGGAACAATCCCAGAATCACTGATGTGTCCCCTCCCACCCCCCCCCCGGTCACGGAGCAAGAAGGCGTCTGAAGTTCCTGGCTGCAACTCACAGCAGACACCAATGTATACCTTCCGCATGCCTGCGGGGACATGACAAGCAAAGGGGCGGTGGCATGCCATCCCTCGGCCCCGCTAACTCTTTCTCTTTACCTGTTTCTAACTTCCTGCCCGCTGAAGAGCTGGGTAGCCTTCCAAATCCAAGGCAGTTGCTCGCCAGTTTAGACATGGTTTATTGAGCAATGTGAGGACACAGGGGGATTCGAAGACAACTGAGACCAGACCCTGTCCTCAAGGAAGAGGGCAGATTGGAGAGGGAGCAAAGGACAGAAGACCCCAGCACACCTGCTGGAACACAGCTGGGCTTCCGTTTCCTGTATAATCAGGTGAGGCACTGGATCAAACAGGCTCTCTAGGAACCAGGACAGCTCGGAACCTGAGGACTCCAAGCCTTGACCTCCCCGGGCTCCTGGGAAGCCTACAGACCCCAGAGCAGCCTTCTCGAAAAGAAGGGTCAGCGAGGAGGAGCACTGGGCCCGCCGCATGAGATTCATGCTGGAGAAAATGCAATAGAACTTCGGAACACTGTGGAGAGAAAGACTAAGAAATCCCAGGAAATGGGAACTTCTACAGCTTCATCAGAGACTCTGGATGGAGGACCAGTGAAGAGTGAGGGCTCCTGCCGAGGTCTGGGCAAATGCGCCATCCCATGATCCCCGGCACAGCCACCATGCCTATTTTCATAAACTCGCCCGAACCCCCAATTCACTTCGCACGCCTTCTTTTGCGTTCCACAAGATGGCTTTACAGTGAAAAAAAAAGGCCCATTCTCCCTTCTTCCCAACTGCCTAGGGCTAAAAGGGCCACCAGGGTCTTCGGTGGCGGGGTGCCGGCAACCGGCAGAATGGGTCAGCCAGGAGTGCCTAGTGTGGGGGCGCGCCTACCTGCGGAGAAGGCGTCTTCGTGGTCGGAGCTGTTGTGGCTGCAGTCGCTGCCTCTCTCCGGCGAGCTGTGACTGGGCGAATCCCGGTCCGGCAAGCGCAGGAACCTCTTGCGCCCCCACTGGGCGAGGTGCTCCCGCGCCCCGCGCCTGGGGGGCTCCTCGTCCGCCTCCAGCTGGTCCAGGTCCCGGCTCCGCCGCCGGTGGTGCCGCCAGCCTCCGGAGATCAGGTGCATCCAGCGGTGGGGGCTGCACGGCCGCGCCGGCCTCTCGGCCTCGTCGCGGCTCCCAAACCGGCAGGGGGCCACAAGTAGGTGGCCCAGGACGAATTTCTCATTCAAATCCACCATCTCAAAGTCGTGGTCACTGCAGTCGCCTCCGTCATCGCCACCCGAGGCGTCCGGTTCGCCCTCGTCCGAGCCCCGCCCCGCGCGGCCCCCGGAGGGCCGGTCCTCTCCGGGGCCACCGGGGCCGGGGCCATCGCGGCCGCCGAGCGCACCGTCCTCGCGGAGCCTGAAGAGCAGGCGAGGCTGCACGAGCTGCTGGTGGATGGCGGCGGTCAGGCTGCGCACGGCGCCCCCTCCCTCCACCGCCCCGGGCCAGGCGGGGAGGTCCAGGCACGCGTCGGGGGGCGGCGTGGCCACCTCCGGGGCCGGGCGCGCGGGGCCTGGGGAGGCCGGGGCGCCCCGGTCCTCGCGCGGCGGCGGCGGCGGCTGCGGCGGCGGCGCGCGCTCGGCTCCGGCTGGCTCCTCCGCGGAGGCTCCCCGGCTCCCGCCGCCGCCGTCCCCGCCCTCCGGCCGCCCTCCCCGTGGGTCCGTCTTCTCCCCAGCCAGGGCCGCCTGCAGGTAGCCGACTTTGAACTTCTCCTCGGCCAACACCTGTTGCAGCCGCTTCAGGTTGAGTTTGCAACGTTCGAGCTCGCGCTCCATGTCCGGCACCGACTCCAGCCTCATGACCGGGGCCTCCTCCCCGGGGAACTCGGCCTGCCAGTGGCGCTCGAACTCCTGCGGGTCCCACATGCTGGCCGCGCCGTCGGGCCTCCCGGGCCCGGCTCCTCGGCGCCTGGAGCTCCTCGGAAGCGCGCGCTGTGTCGCAGTCTCCCGTCCCTCGCTTCAGTGCCTGAAGGAGAAAAAAAAAAAAGTTTTTCCCCTTCCGCCCTCGTGCCGTTTTTTTTTTTTTTTTTTCCTCTTCTTCTGGGTTTCGCCTCCCTGACGTAAGCGGCCGCCCAGCCGCGGGGGCGGGAGCCTCGGGCCGCAGGCGCCGGGAGCGCGGTCAGCAGCCGCACGGTGGGCTCGGGCGCGCGGAGCGCCGCGGCGGGGGCGGAGCCTGGGCGGTGCGGGGCCGGGGC